TGGATGCACATCTCTCCTTTGCAATGACTCGCGGTGGCCTACCGGGTTATCGAGCCAGTGCTGCTATCCTCCCAGACAAGTCTGGTACCAGTTTACCGAACGCGAAAGGATGGAAGGCTTGGTAGAGCAGGGATCGATTCAATGTGCGTGCTGCAGTGCGCCTCCGACCACTGCGCTGCACGCGCCTTATGATATATATGGTATGGTTTTAATCACTCTAAATCACTAGAAGCAAAGCAATGTATGCTTAAAGACGACATTACTTTCGGTCATATATGGGCATATATGGATCACATTGTGGGCAATGGTTTTCGATGTGGTTGAAATCAATGAATAGAACATCACCAAAAGGCTGAGGAAAAATTGAACTTCTACAGGCAGACAAAATGCCAATAAATGCGCAGCAAATTTATGATGATCTTCCCATGCAAACTTTGCAGACAACATAGAAGGAATGCGGAGTACTGCGACTGGAAGAAAGTCAGTGTTATAGTTGACTTTGTGAGTTCTATACCACAAGTGTTTCATTATCTAGTGTTCAGCAGTACAACTATGTCAATTCATGTAATCCCAATAGCTCCAAAGGTGCTGCCTCATTTGTACAACACTGTTCTTATCTGCTTTACCAAATCCTCAGGTAGTTATCGCAGATGACCTTGAAAATGGCTGAAGACGTGGAAGGACAGGCATTCCTCAGATAGATGGGAAGCATTTTTTTCTGTTTTCTGATCGCCTGGGAAGTGGAGATTATCCGGTCCGGCCAGCACGGTCCATAATCGTACGTCTGGCGACCTTGAAGACGGAAGGCCTACCTGCCGTGAAAAGGTCTCCAAATTAGGGTGTCGCTATCTTACGACGCGGCCTAATTACCCGAGTTGAGTAACCAACCACTGAGAGGAACTGGCTTAGACGTAGCTGGTCGCTCTTTTGGCGTTTGTCACTCGCTTACTCCAAAAAAAGTCGCCAACTAAGGGTTCATGTTTTTTCATCCCTTCTTATTGATATCCACTTTCATCTCCTACTCAATTCCGCTCGGCAGGACAGCTCGGGAGAATGATACAATGTCCGAACCTCTTCATTTCTACATTGGAATCTGTGCAACCTTCCGAAATATGCATAAATCTCGTCTGTATCTTTTTGGAGAATCGCAGACAATGATAGATATCTGAAGTAAATCCGTTTTATTCACTCTGTAGTCATTATTTACTTGGTCGTGATTACGGCGTTTCTTCCTACATTTGAAATCCTTGCTCAATGCACGGGAAGATCGCTGGAATATTTTGGCCCGTTCTTAGTAGAACTTATTTCGGCGATCATAAAAGTCGACTAAAAATATCCGCTTTGGGTTTAGGTGCTACATAACTGGACATTACGCCTCGCGTCGGCTCGTCCTGCTCACTTGCTTTTCAAGACAAAAATGAAAGGACGTCTTCTCCTCTTCATCTCAGTTATAGCAGTAGTGGTCAGTTCATGATGAACATCGTTTATTGAAAGAGTTTGACACTAACCGCTAACAAGTGATGAGGTCTATTTTGCTGTTGTCCTAATGTCGTTACAAATCTAGATTGCACAATGGCCTTGGAATAACTTTGAAATGCTCTTTTATTGGTTCTAAAAACTCCATCCTTCCTAAACCTATCGGTGCGCTAAGTTTTCGAACATTAAAACATGGTTGCACCTTTAGATTTTCTACTAGTTGCGTTCATTTATTCATTCACACGCTCTGCTAATTGTGTCATTTCTGCCAAGGTGCTTCCTGTTTTACTTCACTTGAGAACTTGAATGTTTTAACCGAGTGGTTCGTGGGCCTATTAACTTCAAATAATGTTATATCACGTTCGTGGCCCAAATTTTTTCTTAAAATTCATGATTTTTCCCACTACAATTGGTCTACATAAACAGGAACACAAACAAAATTTTACGATCCGCCATTAGATGCTGCACGGATCCCAGCACTTCTTTAATTTCGGTCGTTGTCTGGCACCCATTGTCGACGAAGGTCATCGGCAGGCGCTTGAAACTTTGTCCTCTTCACGGTCGAGTATATTATTCGTTGAAACAGGGATAGCTCTGCTGGAGCGTCTCCAGCTATTTACCATCGTTAGTCGTCAGGCTCACTAGATCGAGCTAGCCTTTCCTAGACAAGTCAGGTTCTAATTTTTCCAGCTGGGGATAGGACGAGATCAAAGAAAATGAGCGTTATACCTTTTTATTTTCTGCCTACTATAATTTCGCGGCAGGGTACTAAGCGAAATACAACCACAACGTTGCTGAGATATTTGCAAAACTCTGGACCGCAGGTGTCTATGGTGGGGAACGAACGCGCTATTGTCCTTTCCGGGGAGTAATGCGCTCACCACTACACCATGCGGGTCCTTCGTTTCGCCTGTCTTTCAGCTATTTCTATCGATCTTTGCCACAGAAAATGAGTGTATTATTGCACATCATCTCTCTAACCACTGCACTCTGTACAGTCCGAATAACAAAAACTGAACAATAACTTAACTCTTCCACTAGTTTGATTTAAAAAGTTGTTTAAAATAAATCCTGATTGTTTTTGTAATTTTAAACGCCCTCAATCGATAGCCAGCCTATAGGAAACAGGAACGAACAAACTCTTCCGCTGACAGATCCACTTCAAAGATCTAGGACTTCTGAGAATCAAATCCGAATTTCCATGTGGCAGCAGCCGTCTCATTTTTCAAAATAAGCCATTTTTCATTTTAAAAGCCGACTTTCCTTTAACATCGACTAATCAATACGTATTCTTCCAATGCTACCACAAGGTCGATAAAAAAGAATCCTATCTGGCCGAAGAATAAGGAAATACTAGTAGAAAAAACTAACAGTAATAATAATAACAATAATAATAATAATAATAATAGGAAGAATAACGACAGTGGAAGCAGAATAAAATTTCTATCAATCTCGTGTTAGCCTACCAACAGAAGAACATGTTAACTTTTTTATTTACTGCCTTTTTCTTCTTAATGGTGACCCGGATGGTGTAGTGGTGAAGTGCGCTGCTCTCCGGTAAGGACAACAGCGCGTGTTCGTTCCCCACTGCATACACCTGTGGTCCGGAGTTTTGCAAATATCTCAGCATTTCATAGAAGAACATGTATTGAGAAGCCTCCTGCGTTTCGTTTGTTTCAATTCCTTCAGCACCTCAACCATTGTTTGTTCTGTTAGAAACCCACTATCGTTAAGCCTTCGCATAAGTGGTCTATTTTTTCTTGGACTACTAAGCTAGTATGCGGTTGTACAAACGCTTTATTCTTCTAAAACTTCGATGCCATCTTCTTCAGAGCCGGATTGATACGAGTCGGTGGCGTACAGCTGCGCGTCCTCGCGATGTGACTGCATGTCTTCGCATCGAGTCTAATCCAGTGAAGGGCTTACCGAATGAAATTCTTCATTCGAGCCGAATAAAACATTTACAGCAACCTTGTGTTAGCTTAGTAGTCATAGAAAATTATTAATAACTTTGCTGTGAGCCCTCACTTTTCATTTGTCAGAGCGCACATCTGGACTTTATTCTTGCGGTAAAATGCCTGTATTGCCTATAGCGCAGTGGTTAAACGGGCTCCTCTGTAGTACACATGGGTTCGATCTCTCTTGACGACCGAAGGATAAATTGTTAGACTCTGCACAACTGGGCGATCAGCGAGGCCCTAAATTCTCTCACTGCTTAAATTGCGCAAATTATTGTATGAGCCAAATTCTTATTTCATTCCTTCCACAAACTGTAAATGAGCGTGAGTGTATAAGCAGATTCTCAACAGCGTTGATCAACAACTTGGGCTCGATCCTCCATTGTCTTCCTGACAAAAACAAATCTGCCCGTTAGCTAATATGCTCAGGGTTGTAGTGAAAAGTGACACAGTTACCACAAAAATATAGAGAATCTCTTCGTTGAAAGCGATCTAACACCTAAGTCTAACACCTGTACACTGTCTAACAACACCTGTAGAAATGGAAGTAGATAGGCAAAAAAGTTGGAAAGCCTTGTCGCTACTTCTTCATTTTCGCCAGAAATCGCTTGATTTCGTACAAGCGAGCTCACCGAGAAACAACACCATTACAAAGGGGTTAAATTAGAGCTATGATGAGTGTGCCGGATCTCACCGATGGCAATTACTTGAATGCCGGTCTGATAAAAAGCGGCACGTCTTCTACTGTGCATCGAACTACGCTTTTTTTCCTGAACAATGTTTAAAAGCTGTCTACAGCCCTCTGCCTTAAAAATTCCTACACCTAACAAAATGAAAACAAGGACTCACTTCTTTACCAAATGCGTTGCACCATTCTGTAAACAATTTTTTCCAGATTTCCCATGGTGTGCTCAGCAGTTCGCTGCTTCAAGGTAAGGCTTATGCCTATTTGTGATTTAAAGAAATAAAGGATTAGGTGTTTGCGGTGGGGAACGAACGTTCTGTTACCCTTTCCGGGCGCTAACGCGTTCACCACCACACCATGCTGGTCCTTCTTTTCGTTACTAAACTTTAACTTTATTTTTGCTTACTCATCTTATTCTCACTACATCTAGCTATTTTATTTGATTAACTCAGTTAAAAATTGACAGACTGTAACAGAGACAGCAGACAACTGATTAACGGAGGCTAAAAGAAAGAAATTAGCAGATTGCATGGATTTGAAGATAATTTTCTTTCAATATGGTTTTGTTTCCTTTCTCTGTAACAAGTAGAAAGTGAAGAAGAATCGCTTAGATCGAAGCGTGTCATGTTCGGCGTCTTCGATGGATGTGTCGCTGACGTTCGCGAAGAGCTTTTCCGGTGGCGTCTTCACGGAAAGAGGAATCGGCAATGACCGTTGCAGGTTCTGTGTCTGCTTTTGCAAACAACATCAAACCAACCACTCGCAACCTTACACTGTCAGATAAATGTTCTATCATCTTTTGCGTCCATGAAGAATTGTTTAAACGCGTCCCATAAGCCTTATATCGGTGCTTTAGGTGGCGGGCTCAAGAGCTGAATACAATGATGATTCGCCTTCCATTAGATAATAGTTCTGAATGTGGGCTCACCACAGATGAGGTTTGGCTTACATTTCCTCTCTTTGATGAAGTCACTATTCCTTCAGTGTTATTCCGCTGAAAGCTTTAATCATCAATATTTACGTGTTTGAAAAGATAAGTTTAGATCACATAACTGTAAAAATGAAATGGGATATTTCCTCACGGATGTAGTCATCCTTACAATTTTCGCAGTATTTTCACGATAAAGAAATTCGGTGAGCAAATGTGCTAGTGCTTCAGAGCATTCCGTGCTTGCAGACAAGCGGCGAGTACAGTATCAAGCTACTCATCAGCCCGGTCGACGGCCTGCTCGTCGACGGCTTCACGGCGCTCAGCGTGCGCTGCATCTACAGCACTCAGGAACTGACGCTCACGCTGCCACCCGGACCGAGCGGCCTTCCAGTACTGCACATCCAGTACATAGCGTATTGTTTCATAGATAATTAAATAACACCCGAACGGTCCACTGTAACGAATTTAGCTTATAAGCTGCTGGTTTGTGGGTACTGGAATTGGTTCCCTTCATTTGCATTTCCATGTTAATCTGTTATATTATTAGGTAATTCCATGAAGAGTTTACCATGTTTTTACAGTACACCTTTAGGTACGGCCAGTCTTCCTTAGAAATTAGTCTCTGAATTGCTTACTTCTAACCAAATTTGTAAAATTGCGGGAATGGTGGTAAATCAGGTTTAATCAATTGGCTGGTCCATCTTCACAAGGAACCATGTGCTTGCCCTCTCAGTGTCTACTTGTTCAGTACTTTGCTGGTCAGACAAGGCCTGGAGCCTGGTGACAATCGAGTTGAGGCTTTCTCAAGTCATATGCATCGTACATTGATGCAAAATATGCCATTTCACGACTAGATTGCTATCAGAACATCAATTGTTCTCACCATTGCTTCGCAATTACTCGTACTTTCGAGTCGAAATGCCGAACCCTTCTGCCTAGGATTTCTTGGTGATGCAATAAACCCTTGTGCTTGATCCCAGTTCAATAGCAGTCCACACTGAGGTGGTAACTAGTTGAGGTGATGATGGGGAGGGAGGGATTTTCGCACATAAAAACATTAATTCAAGCAGTTCAATGCAGGGTTCTGCAGTCTGTTTGGACAAGCCATAGACGATTAGACATTTAAGACCATTTTTGTTAAAAAAGGAACTGGAACACACAAAGAGATATTGCACAAGTATGCTGTTACTGATATAGCGGTCTCCGTGTTTCTGCCTTACTTCTTACTGCCAGCATCGAACGCTGAGCCAACAGTTAGCTATATATCAATTTAAGAGATTTCGCTATAAAAACCTTCCAGTATTATTTAGCGAAGCTTTGACGGCATTTTTACAAGTCCATTTCAGTGGCCCACAACTTGATGACGGAGTGATCACAGGAAATGGAGTTGCCCCGCTTCTATCCATGCAGATCCTGGACGGCCATGGAATCAATGGCCCACCACTCGTTAGAGCGAGTGTTGGACAACGAATCACCCTTGATTTAGTGCTTAAAAACACCGGTGAGAAAAATCTAAAATTCGTATTTCAAGTATTTCGGACGAACACAGAGATGTTTAGTGTTGAACATTCTCTACTAGTTGTAGTTAGACTCCTAGCAAACATTATTCGTCAAAAGCTACTTGTCGGAAAGGCACCACCTGGTGGATAGCAAACCTCTGAAAGAATAGAATCTTTCACGATAGTAGGGATAGAAATTTGTAGCAGATCCTACAGGACTGATGACATATACGCCATCGTGAGACTTAGTGGAAAGCTGCAGAAGAGCAAGATTCCGCTTTAGTTGATCTAAATAGTTCTCGTCTCAAAGGATAGACGCGGAATTTGCTATTACTTCATTTTCAGAACTGAACTGCTCGTGCAGAAGATGATACCGCGGATAAGAAGGCCTAAGACTTTTTAGAGGACTGAGTAACCTGGATGTTCATAATTTAATGTACTTCAGCAATTTATGACTTTCACGTGCATTCATGCTATGCCCACGACGGCACGAACACACCAGATGCCAGTATCAATGTTATCGACAGTAATGGGTGGGTAGCCAGTTTTGAAGGAGTAATCAAAGTCTTAACCCTTTTATTTACTGCCTTTTTTCTCTTTAATGGCAGGGTATGTTGCGAAATATAACTCGTATATAATGCTGAGATATTTGGGTGATTGAGTATTTGGGTGACGGGTGATTGCTGATGGCAAAAGATCGGTAGAACTAGCTGAGAGACAGGCGAAACGAAGGACCCGGATGGTGTGGTGGTGAAGTGCGCTACTCCCCGGAAAGGACAATAGCGCGCGTTCGTTCCCCACTGCATACACCTGCGGTCCGGGGTTTTGCAAATATCTCAGCATTATATACGGACTAATCAAAGTCCTTCATTTGTTATGACTTTGCAAATCTTTCCATGTTGCTTAATTTCTCTGGAGAATTTCTCCAAATACATTTAGAACATCTTGGTCTATTGGCTAGCATTGATCTTCTTGAGGAATAAACGCTTGATTAGAGCCAGTTGCATTGAAGTACTCGATGTTCATTATCTAGCAAGTGTTCACGGCAACGCCAAACATCGCCAAAATCTTTGTCTATGTTTGGCAGCAGCTATTTATCCACTTATATACTTCGATGACTCCTCTTCACTGATTGTGAGGGCTTCAACATAATATCCGTTCATTTCTCTCTTGCGCAGTCGTCTTCCATGGTGGTGGTCTACTTCGGACATGGTGTAGTCCGCGACGTCCACCATTCTGAACTGCTAAAGTCGTTGCCACGTACGAGTGCAGATGGATAACAATAGCCACAAACACGTAACCCCAATCGTTTGAGTGCCATTCCAAGAAGGCACTGGCATTCTTTTGGAGTCCACTCCACTGTTCTTTCGTCCGTCTGTCATCTATTCGTCTTATTATGTGACCCACCTATCTATGTTTTGCTTTTAATATATATTCTCCTGGTTCTTGAAGATGGGTTAGGATTCGAGTATCTGAGCTATCAATTCCGGCTTGTCGTTGTGAGTACCGATTGCTTTTCAGAAGACATCGTTCAAGCGTTTTTTGGGTGGCGTGCAGATTTCATGACGTAGTTGAAACAACAGCTCACTCAAGTCTTTGCTACATAGAAGAGGTTTAGGAGAACCGTTGAGTTAAAACAGCGAACATGAAGTTTCACGTCTTTTAGTTTGTCATTGAAGGACCCGAAAGCGGTTAATGCTGCCCTTCTTTTTCTATCTAAATCTTTCTTCATGTTGCTTTTTTAACACATTTTCTTAGACATGCAAGCAACAAAACGTCGCATTCATGAAAATCTTGCTATGTTGGAACTATTCAGATGTGCTGTTCAGCTAAGTCGTGCCATCGATGTCCCGGTGTTCGTCACCGAACCAAACGACCACGGAGCGAAGCACGTCTATCTTCATATGTGAGTTTCCAGATTTCCAACGATCTCCGAGCATCCATCGAAAATAACTGAACTCCTACTTTTTTAGTTTTAAAATTTTCACGACATTAGCCACTTCGAACATAATTCCAGGAAATTGGTTTTGACATTTGAAACAGAATTGTGGAAAACTGCAGTGAATGTGATGCTTGGGTCTATGAACGCTCCTTGGCACCGTTCATTGTTGGGAATGAAATACATAATCTTATCCAACTACAATTATTAGAGGCCATTAATCTACTTAATAGCATCCATCAAGTTCGTCGTCAATAAAACTGTTTAATACCACCGAGTAATCTTAAGCGCCAGCTAGTTCGTAACCGCCTATATGGCCGTCTATGTGCAACTCAAAATTGCATAGTTTGCCCCAGTGGTAGAGACGGTGATTGCATGAGCTCGGGTATAGTTTATCTGATCTCCTGTAAGACGTGTGGTGACGAATACATTGGCGAAACGGGTAGACCCCTCTGTGTCCGCATGAAAGAACACCTAGCCGGCAAAAATAGACCAAATACCCCGCTAGGCACACAAAGGACCCAGAGACAACGGGGACGACTTCGAAGTATGTGTCACGATCCTCGCACGCGAATCAAGAACACAGGCGCGAAAAACTCTCGAGGCACTCTGGATTAATTCCAGAAATCCGAAAATGAACCGCAGGGAAGAATGCCTCATTATCACGCGTGATATAGGACAGTATATAAAACTGCTTTTCTGATATGAGGGGCACATTATACTTCCATGTGATTTATGTGCGGTTGGTCTCTACGTGACATACTTAGTGGAAACCTCATAGGAAGCGGTGAGTGTGCAAAGCTGTGTTCAAAGTGATTGAAATCTTGGTTTGGGGTTTCTTTGTTTGGTTATGGAGGCGTCTGGACGAGTGAGTTGCTATCAACTTGACCTTTCCAGGCTCTGAAGAAGGCGAAATTCGCCGAAACGTCAGCTTAATCGTGAACAAAGAACAATAACACCTCGCGTTTGCTCAACAAAAATACGAAGTAAAACTGTTTAGTTGTTAAATGTTAGTCTTAGTCTTACAAGAGTTTATGACTGTGAAATAAATTTCTCTGTCCTTCACTACATCCAAAACTGTTCATAAGTAGGGTGCACGTGTCGGTGTTGTTCTCTAGGTTAAATGTAATTACTCTGAAAATCATTCCACTGTCTATAGTAACGTCTGATTACAACACAGGTGATCTTCAACCTTTTTTCCTCCTAAGCTCTTGGGTGACGTGTTCACTCACAATGTTCTCGCGGTAGAAGTAATCACCGGTGACGCGAAGAATTCGGAGAATATCCTTGAATTCTCTACTTGGCCGGATTAACCTGAATCTTCCTTACACCTGTAATCGCTGCGTTTTTATTTTTTCTTCCTGATGTCTTCTGCTCATTCTTACGTGCTACCCGCATTACCATTCTCTTTGTACTTATAGATATAGTACCTGTGCAAGCTCCTTTAGCCATAAGCGTTCGACGAAGTGATTAACTCATAGCGAACGCTTGTCGTTTAAGGTGGCTCTAAGAATGTAATACGAGCAATTCTTCGTCGACTGCGGACTTTCTGGTTTTCTGACAATACGAAGTATTTTTTCAACAACTAAAGGGCTCTACGAGTTATAAATATGACAAGGTTGTAGAGAGATCTTACCACATCGTTCTAGGGGTACGCGTTCTACCATTCAATGTGTCTTACTAAAGGTCCATTATGTAGATAACAGCATATGAAAGTATTTTGCAGCCTATCTTGGGTTAAATGAAATAGCACTTAATTGTTAGTTAAACTTCCGACCAATGGAATTTTTCGCAAAAAAAAGTTTTTTTGTAAGCCATTAAGTATATAGAGTGGTTTTCCTGGTCTCACCCTTCTATTTTTATCTACTTTCGATCGGCCTTAGGGTTAAAATACATAGTACGGTAAAAAAAATTCTGGAGCGCACTAAATTGAGAATGGACACTATAGTGCCCATACAGCATTCTAGTCCAAACGCGCAGACACACTATAGTGTCCATACTGCACGTTAGGCTTAAGAGGTAATTATGAATGGCCTTCAATGAAGCATGTGGTTGCTCTAAGGAATTCGAACAGCTGCTCTTAAATATCACCAGACACCATGGCAAAGCACAGCGAACTATCAAGACGTGATTTTCTGTGTAGAAACTGTAGAAGTCAAGGCCAATGTTGGGAAATCGTAGCGTATCTTGGATTGTAGCGTTAAGTGATTTAATTGGCTTATGCATAACGCAAGTGGTACCAGCGCATTAGAAGGATTAGTTATGACGTCGTTTTTTTTTTCGCAATATTTGCTATTAAATACTTGGAACAAGTAAAACTAGGATTTTGAAAACTAGACTAAACTAAACTTTAATTTTCAAAATGCAAAATTAATACTATAATTGACCACTGTGTTGGAATCAAACTAGTCGCATGATGGTAAATCTCCCTCTGATCTACATGGCGCTGTGACTGCTTGTGTTGGTGACGAGCTGGAGCAGACTTTGGCTAGGCTGACCTCAGGCCTCCAGTGAAACACAGTAGCTAAACCAGCAAAACTCGGAAAAATGGCTATTATGCTGGGGTCCGCACAATTAGTGAGGATGGGTCGTAGAAGTATCCAAGTAAAGATTTTGAAAACAAATTTGGCAGTTTCAGGTACGGATTTCAGTTCACTTCTTCACAATTCGTTCATTTCGAATGCCGAGTGACACCATGTGTGCACTCATGCAGACGACAAGTTCGTTCATATTGTGTTGTTCTTTATCTGAAAGGATTGATTTTCGTTGTACTCCTATTTGTATTTTCATAATCGACTTCAGCAGTGTAGCACTGAAACAGGGAAGACAGCTTTGATTCCGGCACTTCGTCGAAGGAGAGAAGAGGCTGAAAGAACCAGTAGTCTGAGGGCGCTAAGGATGCAAGCAGTACTTCAGATTGAACCCCAACAAATACAGAAGGCTGCACTAGGTGAGTTATCAAATTTTAATCTATCATTTAGAGTCTGACGCCTATTTCTGTGTGAGCAAATGGTATGTGCTAATTTTTCGCCGTATGCGCTATGAATTACATTCGATTCACGTCGGCCTTTCTATAGCACCCTCTCCGTACAAGTAACGATTCTCATTAGTCGCTATTCTTATTAGCAGTGCTTTATTAAGCGGCAGTTATTCGCCACAGGACGCTGCGACACCTTACTACTCTCTTAATCCATAATACCCTCATCTCAGATGGAAATCTATTTTCGTGTTTTGCTTACCAACAGCCTGTGGCTTTACCAGCATTCTTGTCCTAGAAACAGTTTTCTGTATTTCGAAGTTTTCTGTATGCTATAAAGACCAAACAAGAAAGCCCTTTACGTTAAAAGAAACGACCGCAGGCCAACCCGAGCTCTCCCCTCTCACATGTGAGTGGAAATCACCTCACATCGTACTCTAAATTCTATTTGTCTTTCAAGATATTTTCTCCATGAGCTCTACCAGAAAGGGCGTCGTATGTTACTCACTGCACCCAAAAACTGTCTTTCTTATTTTGGTATTTGAAACGACCATAGAAATCAGTTGTATGTCTGTAAAAAATGTATCTGAGTTCTTCATGGAAGTATGTAGTTCGTAAAAAAGATCATATTCCTTTTAAGCCATATCGCTTCCTATCTTTCGTTAATGTCCATAAACGGTAAACCGCTTTGTTTTCGACCATTCCATACTTTCGCATTTCAGTGAATTCGCAAGGGATTGCTGAGCACTGTGTCAGCGTGGAGGAGATGTTGTTCGTGAGTCTTCTGGTGCTCGGTATCGTCAGCAGTTCCGTGGTTCTGCTGTGCTGTGTTTGTTTGCCAAGAAAACGTCAAATGTCACAGGGTGGATCGACCGTTAGCGTTTCACAACTCTTCCAATAATAATGTGCGATTATTCATCTTCAGTTTGTTGTAACATCTTAACGTATGCATCGCTAAACAACCAAACTAGGGTCTGTACATGCCTTTCCCATTTCACAGTTCTTCGAACAAAAGTTCATGTTTTTGTGGCTTTTCGATTTTATGTTTATGTGAGACTGTTTTCGCCTCTCAACAAATCAGCATACGAGAATTGTTGTTCGATATAGATTTCGATGCCCCAAAAGCAATTGCAAACTTGGACCACCTCGGTCGGCCCAATACCTGACGGGACTTTTCACACGGGAATTCATGGTTTCAAAATGTGCACCTAACAATTTTTGGGCCAGTTAATCATGCTAGCAGATGTCTCCATGCTCAAACACTCAACCCATTCCACCACCATGGAAGACGATTATCCGGGGACGAACCAAGTGGAATGTTCGCTAGGATCTCAAGGACTCGCGAAGATGGGGCGTTCAAGTAGTCAAGTGAAAATATGCTCATCGTTATGATTCGTTGGTGGGTTAGTCTTCGTTAAAATCGTGAATTCCACTTCATAATGTTGCTTATCACGCTGCTCGTTTTCTGTTTTATAAGTGACGTTGGAATGCTAACACGTTTCTGCTCAGAAGTTCTTTGATAAGTATGGCTGATATTTTTCGTTTGTATTTGCACTCAGTCCGCCTTGTTACTCCCAGTAGTTGCCTTCAACATTGTTCACGTAGGAGGTTTAATAAACAGCGATAGAATTTCGCAACTTAGCCTTTGTTTCTGCTCTGGCTTAGTCTCTTGTTATGGGTTCATGAAAATCGCATGGTCGTCCTCAAACACAAGCAGAAAGAGGAGACGTCAATCTCAAATTATCTTCCGATCGGCTTTCATTCCGCATCATAGTTGCTTGGGACTATGTTCTATTAGGGAAAATAGGTTTCTACTAAATCTTTGTTTGGAATTCTTCTACACCGTTTCTCTTTACCGTGTTCTTGTAAAGTCTGGAGGGTTCCATGGCATTGGGTAAAAGTGCAGCTGGAAAAACAATATCGAATCAAAACGAGCGATCGATCAAATGCCATGCTTCATAAGCACGTTCCCCGGTTCACTTGGTCTTCCGAGT